ATAAGACAGTTAAACAGTCTTGAAAGATTTGTTAGTGGAAGGAAAAGTAGTCAAATGAAACAAACAACGATAAATCAGTACTTTAATTAATTAAATGATAAACGTCCATATTATCATATATAATAATATGGTGTTACACAAATTACTATTTTCCCTAAATGCACACCCCCTCTAAATGCATGCCATGGTCTGGTCCCAGCAGCATGCACTTAGAGGGTTTTCTCTGTATCTTGCAAGTAATTTCTCCTTTGGACATATTAGCTTCATCTTCTTGTGCAGCTGCTTCTTGTTTGGTAATTGGAATCAGCCTAAAAAAAGAAGCTGGACTATTATTAAAGAAAACTTCAATAATGTACTCTTGACGAGATTTCTTTGCTAAATCAGTAAGATTTATCAATTGGGAACTCAGTTCATTTTCATCACCTAAACTTTTACAGATAATCCTCGGCTTTGTCGGATTAAGAAATTTATCCTTTCTTAAACGGGCTCGAAATCACTGGCATTCTGCAATAATTTCTGGTCAGTTCCTTGGGCCAGTTGTTTGAACGTCATTATATCCAATCGATTTGAAGAAGTTGTTCCACAACTAAGTTTTCAACAGCTGTAAATAATTTGATCCAAAACTTTATAATTTAAATAGAACAATCAGTTACCTGGAAGAATTTTTTACAATTGCGAGCAGCAATTTTCCAATGACGTATTTGTGGAACAGGCAGTATTAATGTTTTCAGCATCTTATTTACTTCTTCTAAAATTGCATCTAACCCTTGATGCTGATTAAAAAGGCCTGAGCGAGAAACTACATTATTCCTTTCTAAAACATCTCGTATAGTCGGATCGAGTCGCATCAGTTGTACTTCATCTGCAACATCTATCATACGATATATTGGATGACGTCGTGCTGACCATATTGGTGAAAAGACCTGTCTTGCAGCTCTCTTGAGCAATGGATTATTTCTCCTGATAGCTGTTCTGTAATTGATAATTGTTTGCAGATAACTAAATATCTATTCAAACAATTGACTAGTATTAGTATTAGTATTAGTACTAATATGACAAATAGTTAATAAAATAAATAATTCTACCTGTTCAAATTTTATTTGATAAAGTGGATCCCTTTGCTCTTTTACCCAAGCCATATATCCATCTGCTGTTGGGTTAGAATGACTGTTAACATATTAATATGGCCACATCAGTTCCATAGCCATTGCTTGGCGATAAATGTTGCAAATTGAATTCCAAGACTTGTGATGGTCATTACATTTCTTAAAATAAGCGAGCTGATTTTCCGTTTTATATCCCTGGCAGATTGTGAATTGTTTGAGATCGATCTCCCTTTTTTGAAAGATGGGTGAATTATATAATAATAAGTATAGGAACTGTAACAAATCAATCAAACGCAATTGCAAACTCACCAATTTAATTCCACATATGCTTGAAGCATATTCATTTCTTGCAATTGGCCAGGGATGAGAATCAGCCATGGATATTTTCCCCTAATTTTGGATATACGATGATACGGAATGCCATCACATGCTACAGCCATCCATTTACATATTCCATCTTTAATTCCTGATATTTTCTCAATATGGAGAAGAACTTTTTCAACATTAGCGGTTGAATTGGGGTTAA